GAATCATTTTCGAGTTTTACTAACGGACAGCAATAGATTTTTATATATAGAGATAATACGGGGTGGCGATAAACTTATCACATTAAATGAAAAGATTTTGCCTACATAACGTTCTTTGAACATACACGACTAAATATATAACAACTAGCTCGCCAGGCAGACGTTGTTCTGCCATTTCCAACGACCCTTCCTATAAAAATCTTTAAATTCGCAATAAAAATTTTTGAGGGTGGTTTATCGGGGTAAAACTAACCTATCTCTCAAGTTAGACCAAAATGCACACAGTGTGCAAAATTTCATTGAAATCAGTTCAGTAGTTCATGAGTCCATCGCGGACAAACAAAGTGACACGTAATTTTTATACATAAAGATTAACATTCTAGTCGCAATAACCCTTTTTCTCGTTTTTTGCCTAATTATCTATGAACGGGAAAGTGTAGGTAAATAATTACCTACGTCGATGCCGCGTGAGCACTGCGAAACTGCCGCACCGTTGCCGCTTTTACATGTTACTTTAGGTCAGTAAACTAAAATTATCAAAGTGATTTATTTCGTGTCAATTTTTAAGCTATTTATTTTGTTTGAAAGAGGCATTTTTTATTTTTGATAGAATTGTTTATTTTATTATTTTAATCGACATATATGAACTTGTATATACCGTTGTATTATTTAATGTGATAACCTAATCGCCACCCAGTATACTCGAACATTTACGGAATCGAAATAAGAATAAGATAAAAACCTGTTTCGCTTTTGGTGGCCATCACCCATATGTTGGAAAAACTACTTTGTTATATTTACTTAACATTTTCTTTTTGGAGATAGGCTACAGAAGCTGATAAGAACTCAAAATTGTAAAAAAAACTGCATTTACTAACTTACCTGCCTAGCTTAACAAAAAAGAACTTTGTCTTTTTCTACCGACTTCAAAAAGGAAACGGTACTCAATTCGACTTTTTTATGAAGATTTTTTTTGTGTGTTACCTCATAACTTTTTACTGGGTGAACCGATTTCGATGATTCTTTTTTTATTTGAAAGCTGGTGCTTCACCTATGGTCTCATATAAATTTTGTTTTTGAGTTATTCTTAATAATTTAAATTGAAGTCGGTTGTACAAAATGTTTAATTTTAAATTATTTTATTTAGTTACTAAAAGATTGTTCTAACTTCAACACTTGTAATGGTTATTAATACAACTACATAAGGGTCACGAGTTCCACCTTTTTAGAAGCCAACAAGAGGTAAAATAAAAAAAATGTAAAACCGACTTCAACATAAATTATTAAGGATAATTCAATAATTATTGGTCAGACCTTGATCAAATTTATATGGGTGGTCCCATATAAATTTGATCAAGGTCTGACCATATATTGGAAGCACCAAATAAAAAAAGAATCATCGAAATCGGTTCACCTAGAAAAAAGTTATGATGTAACACACATAAAAAAATATAGTCCAATTGAGTACCTCCGCCATTTTGAAGGCGGTATAAAAGAAGAAAGTTCAAGTAGAAATAAAAATTTAAATCGAACTAATAAAAAATAATAAATTTAATTTCAATGACAACCTAGAAAGTAGAATAACAACTGAATTATGATTTAACTTCAGCTGAGTTAGAAGTCAAATAAAACTTTCTATTTTATTTGTTTTCGCGTTTTTATTTAATTTGAGTAAATCTCTGATTTCATTCTTTGCTTTTAATCTGTAGATTTGAGTAAGCGAGTAGGTTTATTGCTCCTTTAAGGCTCTCTTGAATTTTTATGTTGGTTCGTTGATTTCTAGGATATGTGAAGTTTAACAACACGGAATAATAGGAGGCTTATGCCCGGAAGAGGGACGTGTATAGACTGAAACATTACTTATATTCATAGATAAAAATCACAGTTGCGTTTTTACGTTTCAACAAAATAAAATAATGTCTTCAGAAAGGAATGGTAGTATGATTATAGTTTTTCTTAAGGAAAGTAGCTTTACAGATAAGTCCTAAGTAAGACATAGCGTCCCAGAAGTTATTGAAAATGGTACCAATGGTTAGTTAGCCAGAGTTATAAGAGAGAGAAAATGATTATGATGATAAATTGATGTTAGAGTCTTATTGCTACGTTTGTGTGAAAGTTAGTTGTAAATTTTTAAAGCAATTTCATACTTATCATAATTATATTATGAGAACTTACAAAATAATAGATCAAAGACTTTTTGATGGACGTACCAACTCCCTTTCTAAATGCTCCATTTCATCTCCTCGTGTTGTACACTACTAATTAAAATAACTAAAAATTAAAATTAAAATTTTTGTACAAATGACTTCAATATAAATTATTAAAAATAACTCAAAAACTATTGGTCAGACCTTGATCAAATTTATATGGAACCACATAGTGAAGCATCAGTTTTCAAATAAAAATCATCGAAATCGGTTCACGCAGTAAAAAGTTATGAAGTAACACACTTAAAAAAAAACATACAATCGAATTGAGTACCGTCTCCTTTTTGAAGTCGGTAGATAACAGTACCGACTGCCCAGTAAGAAGTCTAGCGTCGAAACTTTTACGGTTGCATGCAGTTGCTACAATATAAAAAGATCTGTCCAGTACTTTGTATAAAAGGCCTGTATCCAGTAGTGGATTTAAAAGACCTGTATCTAGTGGTAGATTAAAAACGCCTGTGTTTGGCAATGGATTCAAAAGACTTAAATCCAATACTATATACAAGTAGTAATGAATTTAAAAGTCGTATATCTATTAGTGGATTTAAAATACCTGTCTAGTAGTGGATTTAATAGTCCTGTATCTAATAGTGTATTTAAAATACCTTTCTATCTTTCTTTTATATCTATCTTTCCTGTATCTATTATTGGATTTAAAATAGCTGTCTAATAGTAGATTTAAAAGTCCTGTATCTATTAGTGGATTTAAAATACCTGTCTAGTAGTGGATTTAAGTCATGTGTCTAATAGTGGATTTAAAATAGCTGTCTAGTAGTGAATTTCAAAGTCCTGTATCTAATAGTGAATTTTTAAATATATTTCTAGTAGTGCATTTAAAAGTCCTGTATCTACTAGTGGATTTAAAATACCTATCTAGTAGTGGATTTAAAATAGCTGTCTAATTGTGGATTTAAAAGTCCTGTATCTATAAGTGGATTTAAAATAGCTGTCTAGTAGTGGATTTAAAATAGCTGTCTAATAGTGGATTTAAAAGTCCTGTATCTATTAGTGGATTTAAAATAGCTGTCTAGTAGTGAATTTCAAAGTCCTGTATCTAATAGTTGATTTAAAATAGTTGTCTAGTAGTGGATTTAAAATTCCTGTATCTAATAGTGAATTTTTAAATATATTTCTAGTAGTGGATTTAAAAGTCCTGTATCTATTAGTGGATTTAAAATACCTGTCTAGTAGTGGATTTAAAATAGCTGTCTAATAGTGGATATAAAAGTCCTGTATCTATTAGTGGATTTAAAATAGCTGTCTAGTAGTGAATATAAGTCCTGTATATATTAGTTGATTTAAAATAGTTATCTAGTTATGTATTTAAAAGTACTATATCTAATAGTATTTTTAAATATATTTCTAGCAGTGGATTTAAAAGTCCTGTATCTAATAGTGAATTTTTATATATAATTCTAGTAGTGGATATAAAAGTCCTGTATCTATTAGTGGATTAAAAATACCTGTCTAGTAGTGGATTTATAATAGCTGTCTAATAGTGGATTTAAAAGTCCTGTATCTATTAGTGGATTAAAAATACCTGTCTAGTAGTGGATTTAAAATAGCTGTCTAATAGTAGATTTAAAAGTCCTGTATCTATTAGTGGATTTAAAATAGCTGTCTAGTAGTGGATATAAGTCCTGTATATATTAGTTGATTTAAAATAGCTGTCTAGTAGTGAATTTAAGTCCTGTATCTAATAGTGTATTTTTATATATAATTCTAGTAGTGGATTTAAAAGTCCTGTATCTATTATTGGATTTAAAATACCTATCTAGTAGTGGATTTAAAAAAGCTGTCTAATAGTGGATTTAAAAGTCCTGTATCTATTAGTGGATTTAAAATAGCTATCTAATAGTGAATATAAGTCCTGTATCTATGAGTTTATTTAAAATAGTTGTCTAGTAGTGGATTTAAAATAGCTGTCTAATAGTGGATTTAAAACTCCTGTATCTATTAGTGGATTTTTAAATATATTTCTAGTAGCGGATTCAAAAGTCCTGTATCTATTAGTGGATTAAAAATACATGTCTAGTAGTGGATTTAAGACATGTGTCTAATAGTGGATTTAAAATACCTTTCTAGTAGTGGATTTAAAAGTCCTGTATCTATTAGTGGGTTAAAATACCTGTCTAGTAGTGGATTTAAGTCATGTGTCTAATAGTGGATTTAAAATACCTTTCTAGTAGTGGATTTAAAAGTCCTGTATCTATTAGTGGATTAAAAATACCTGTCAAGTAGTGGATTTAAGTCATGTGTCTAATAGTGTATTTAAAATACCTTTCTAGTAGTGGATTTAAAAGTCCTGTATTTTAAAAAACCTGTCTAGTAATGGAAAGGCCTGTACCTAGTGGTAGATTTTAAACGTCTCTATCTAGCGATGAATTTAAAAGGCTGTCTCTCTTCTGATTCAAAAGACCTGCTTTTAGCCGTGAATTTTAAAAGCCTGTATTTAGTGGTGCATTTAAAATACCGCTGTTAATGCTCGTATTTAGTATTTAATTTAATAAACCTTTAAATACATTTTAAGTGATGAATTTAATAGGTCTGTACCTAGTGGTGAATTTTAAACGCCTATACCTAATATTTTTTTTAAATACTATCTAGTAATGGCTTCCAAAGGAAATCGGTTTGCTCGCATACCTGAAATTTAAACAGAACGTTTATCCTCCTAGCTATATCATGGCTCGATATTATGCTGGAATGATTTATAAAAGATCAATGGGCTGTATTTAAATTTTTATAAGTAGGCCTTATTTTAATAACCGTTTTTTTTATTTACTTTTTGTCTAGGTTTGGATCCAGCTTACCCTGGATACAGATTTACAAACAGAGAAGGTCACTTATCCAAAGGAGATGCGGCTTTTGTGGACGTCATTCATACGAACCCCGGCATTTTCGGTTTTCTGCAACCGATTGGCGACGTTGACTTTTATCCCAACTATGGCTCATGGATTCAGCCAGGCTGTTGGGTTGATGAGCTTGTTAAGCATAAGGAGATCAGATTCATATGTAAGTAATTTAAAAGTAAATATGTATAATAATTGTTTAATAATAAAAGTTAGAAATTTGATTTACCATATCCTGGCTAAAACTAAATATATAGGTGTACCTACCCTACCAGGTACCTACCCAGTCGGATTTCTAGGCTGTAAGAAACTCTGACACATTTTCGTTTTATGGATCTCTCCTTTAATGTAGCAATTAGTTTCGTAATGCTACCCACCACTCTCGGGTACAACGGGTACACAGGTACATGAGCTCTTGTATAAGCACATCTACGTACTTGTGTAAGTACATCCTTCGTGAAGGTTTACTTTTTTCTAACTAGTTGAAACTGTGCTTTGTTGAGCTCTGTATACGCTGCAACTGACGATGCATTAGCATGTACCGGTAGCCGTAATTTGTGAAATGTTAAATTCTATTTACTTTTATTTTTATAAAACGTTACATCTATTCTAGGAATTTTTCAAGTATTGTGGAGGCGTTTAATAAACCCAAATTGCACATGGAGAATCATCCAGAACCGAAACTATTATAAGGTAGGATATAGGTACTTATAGTTGTTCCGTTTGGGAATCAAACCCGTAGGTTGAAGCGCTGCAGCCAGACACTTAATCACCGCGATACCGAGCCGGCATATTTCTGTTCTGGTACTGAACAGTACACAGTTTTATCGTTATTGTGCAATGGAAAGTATTCTTCTTGCAATGTGAGAGGTTAACATAGATTATACGCGGTAGAGCCACGCTGCAGCCATATTATGGTTGTAGCGCGAAGGGGTAGACTCGACCGGGGTAGGGCCACGCTCTCACAGAATACCAGCGTAAAATAGCAACTTAGTGCTGCTGTGTTTCGTATGATGAGTGTAGAGAACCGGAGACCATTGTTAATGGAAACGAGGCATTCTATCTTGGACCTCAGGGGTGACAACTTTTGATTGTTTAGGGAGGATAGATGTAGATTTCGGCTACCACATCCACTTACGATCAGGTGGACTGTGTGCTCGTTTGTCACTCTTATTATATAAAATGTAGCGGGTGGAAGGAAAAGGGGAGATCTACCGCCGGGAAAGGTGTTCTGCCAACGGCCAACGCTCCGAGTGGTAGTTCGGAACTATTCTATATATACTGCTTTAACTTCAGAACTTTGTTAGCGCGATTTAGGCTTCGATATGTTTCGCTTGTGCCGCGACGGCAGCGCCACCACATAAAAAAATCTATTTCTTACGCCAAATAGTATTGCTGCACTGTTGTGTTCCCTTCTGAAATATGGACAGCCAGTATACCCTGCAGACCGCAACACAGGCTGTAAGGCATTCCATATTAGTCTTCAGAGATGACAACTGTGTCCTTCTTTGTTCGAAGTTGGTTGAAGGTGTCCATGGGATGCAGTAACCACTTATCTTATCAGGTAGACAGTAAGTTCGTATGTCTCTTCAGTTTTATAAAAAACGAAAAATATGGTAAAAATCCCAGTGTATATGTTTACCTATATTAAAACCTTTTTCATACGTATATAATGCGACACATAAAACTGGAAAACTTCGAACATTCTAGACGCTCGCGGTATATTTTCAGAATAAAGTCGATTTTTTGTTGCGCACCCTTTATTACCTCAGTACGAGATAAAACTGTCGTCACAGTGTTTCGACTATGAGCGATCGATTCTCTGACGTCACAGCGCGGATGCTGCAGCAATAGGGGGTAAGGACGCACAGGGGGAGAGAGGGAATGGAAGCAATACTGGAATCAACGCTGAACACTGTTTACTGAAAGAGTTAATATTAAATGTTAGCGCAAAGGAGTTATTAATAAACTTATTTCGCCGGAATATTTTTAATACAAAACTGGACTGCGTGTACTAAGAACACAAACTTTGACTGTAGTGCGAGCGAGATTTTTTTTTAATTACTTTTTGGGCAAGACACGGTCGTATAGAAATATAAAAAAAACAATATGAACAATTTATCAGTTAGAAATTGACCTACAGTCGGAAATGTTAAACAAAAGAGATGCCGTATGATGCTGAAACGCGCTCAGCGGTAGCACCGACCGCAAAAATATGATAGTACGTCAGTTATTACTATAACAACTTACAAATAGCTTAATATAAATAGCAGTATATAAGATAAATAGCTTTTTGTAATTCTGAATCGTGAAGGTGTAAGAATTTCCACTACCCCATATCTTCCCGTGGGTGTAGTAAGAGGAGATAGAGGGAAATTGAAACAGGTGTTAGCAGCTGCACCTACCTGATAACAGCTGAAACTAATACAAAACTGCGGTTGACAACTCGCTCGCCAAGCGTGTCAACTACGTCAAAATCCCGCCCTATGCGGCAATCTATGGGGGAGGTCTGAGTTCAGCAGTGATTTTGTAGACTGTAATGGATGGATGGATGGAATTTTAAAACGTAAATATTCTTTAAAAAAATGACGTAACTGTGACAAATGATAGTGGATATTAGATTGCTGAAACTAAACTAAGTAATTGCTAAAACCCTTAAACTTTCAGATGCTTTATCCAGTAAAGTATACTTTTCTAAGTGGTAGTTTTCCTAGGTTTTCTTTGCTTATTTTTGCCGCCAAATAGCAGTGCTGTGTTCCGGTCGGATGTGCATGGAGGTAGCCAGTATAATCACAGTATTTGAGACATCTTAGTCCTCAGAGGTGACAACAAATCTCTAGCCTAATAAATTTGAAGTTGGCTGCAAGTGTCCATAGACCGCAGTAGACACTTTCAGTTGGTCAGTATGTTCCTTTGCCACTTTAGTTTAATAAAAAAAAACTTTCGGAATTGAAAAGCGTAGAAAAACAAACAATTGCAAAAAACTGTGTAAAGATTTCTGTGAAGGTGTTTACAGTAATTACACTGTAGGACATCTGCATCACTCACTGTAGGCAGGATTTTAGAACAATTGTTTTTTTTTTATAAAACTGAAGTGATATATGAACTTACAGCCCGCCTGATGGTAAGTAGCTACTAACTAAAAGCTAGTAACTGCAGCAGTACTACTAGTAGAGAATGTATCACATTTATAATTGTAGTAGCACTCAATACAAGTGATAAAATAAAAAAAATTGTACTAGGGATGGGCAAGGGAAGAAAATATATCGATATATATCGAATCTATATTTTTAAACTGTATCGATATATAACGCGTGATAAATATCGATATATCGTCATCATTTGCACGATGTAAAGATAAAGGTCCAAAATTTTAATTACTGACGGTTGGACAAAGAAAAAAACGATACAAAATTCGCGATTTAAAATATCGGCGATATATATCTATATTTTTATTAAAATATATCGATATTTCGATCATCATCATCATCACCATTACAGCCTTTCATAAGTCCACTGCTGAACATAGGCCTCCCCCAAGGAATGCCACAAAGCACGGTCCTGAGCCACCTGCATCCATTGACTTCCTGCATGTCTTACCAGGTCGTCACTCCATCTCGTGGGGGGTCGCCCTACACTTCGCCTACCGGTACGAGGCTGCCACTCAAGAACCTTTCTTCCCCATCGGTTGTCGGTTCTTCGAGCTATATGGCCGGCCCACTGCCACTTCAGTTTACTAATCCGTTGGGCTATGTCGGTCACTCTGGTTCTACTGCAGATATCCTCATTTCTAAGTTTATCACGCAGAGAAACTCCGAGCATAGTCCTCTCCATAGCTCGCTGAGCGACCTTGAGCTTCCTCATACGGCCAGCAGTGTAGGACCACGTCTCAGATCCGTAAGTCATCACTGGCAACACGCACTGGTTGTATAATTTCGTTTTAAGGTTTTGAGGAATGTCTGACGAGAAGATGTGTCGTAGTTTCCCGTAGGTCGAAATTGGACTTACCTAGTCGGACTATTTGTCCCAAGTAAACATACTCGTCAACAACTTCGAGCTTAGTGTTCCCAACAACTACCGGCATAGGAGTGACAAGGACATTGAACATGATCTTTGTTTTGTCGATGTTCATCTTAAGACCTATTCGTTGGGAGACACTATTGAGGTCATTAAGCATGGTGCTTAGGTCCTCCAGCGATTCTGCCATAAGGACTATATCGTCGGCAAATCGAAGGTGAGTGATGTACTCGCCATTGATGTTAATACCGTATCCTTTCCAGTCCAGAAGCTTGAAAACGTCTTCCAATGCAGCGGTGAAGAGTTTCGGGGATATAATATCACCCTGTCTTACACCTCTCTGCAATTGGATAGGTTTCGTACTCTGGTTCTGTACTCGGATAGCCATCGTAGCCCTACTGTACAAGCACTTCAACACTTCGATATACCGACAGTCAACTTGGCACCGCTGAAGGGACTGCAGCACCGCCCAAATTTCGACGGAATCAAAGGCTTTCTCATAGTCCACATACGCCAGACATAGTGGCAAATTGTATTCCTCGGACTTCTGTACAATTTGCCGAAGGGTATGTATGTGGTCTATGGTGCTAAAGCCCTTTCGGAAACCGGCTTGTTCGGGAGGCTGGAAGTCGTCAACGACGAGACGATTCGAAATGACTCTCGAAAACAGCACGTAGACGCGGCTCAGAAGGGAAATCGGTCTGTAGTTCTTCAAGAGAGACGGAATTAAAGAGCTTCTGAAGGACTTCAAGTACCGGTCTTCCACCCGCTTTCAGAAGCTCCGCTGTAATTCCATCCTCGCCTGGGGCCCTGCCGTTTTTAAGGTGCTGGAGAGCCATTCTAATCTCGCTCAGACTGATGTCCGGGATATCTTCGGAATAGTGTCGGATGAGACTCGCACTTGGATCGTTACTCACACTTGCGTGTGGCTCCAACGATGACGTTTACAGCTGCCCATAGAACCTCTCAATCTCACTCAAAATCTCAGGTGCCCCGGAAACGATGCTGCCACATTCGGTCTTCAGCTTTGACAGTTGGCTCTTTCTGGCAGACAGATCTCTGGCAAAGACTTTGTAGCCTTGGTTCCGCTCGATCGCTTCTACAATACAAGCTGTATTGAAGTTGTGTAAGTCCCGCCGCATGCATTTAGAGATCTGTTTGTTCAGTTGCCTGTATGCTGTCAAATCTGTTGAAGAATGTAGCTTCATCTCCCGTCTAACAGCCATGAGATAGAGAGTGTGATCGGAGAGTTTTTGTGTTCGTCTGCGGCGGGTCTTGCAGAACTTAGCTCCGACCCCATGGACCGTTTCCACGAGCTTGTCATCATATCGTCCACTTCATTGCAGTCTTCTAGGCACTGAAATGGTTTTGTAACTCGAGCTGAAAGGTTTCGGGACTTTGGAACGAGGTATTCCTCCCCAGTTTTCATGGATTGACAACACATTAATATTATTATTCCTAATCGATGATAGATATAGGTTTCTATGGCCCACGGCAACCATCAGGTGTGTGCTCGTTTGCCACCCTGTTTCTATAAGAAAAAACCTTCTTCACAACATCACACAGTACATAATATTTCACTCTGAGCATTATATCTGACCTACTCAGTAATGCAAGCATTGATCGTAAACCTGTCTGTTTGTAGCAAAATTGCAGATCGCAATCAATATGCTTGGCTTCCGGCCAGTAATCAAACGTATCTTCAAATATCGATAGTCAGTTGGTTATTTTGTATTCGTTCCTTTCAGATTTGATAACAGCATTAAAAAGTGATCTTTCCAACAACGTTTTGCGGCAGGCATTCAGCCAAAAATTATATCATCCTCTCGTAGCAGATTACATAAAGTAAGCAGGTTGACGTCGTTGAACGTGATTGAATTGATACCGTACAGAATTCTAGTATAACGTAATGTTTCGGAGAATATTATTTTACAGTATTTTCTTATATAATGTCAAAACGGTTCTAGGCAAGATGTATGAAATTGTTTATACCTACATTTGATGAGCACAATAGAAAATAAAACGAGAGTTTAATAAAATAGAAGTAGATAACGTTTATAATTTATTTTAATCTTACAAATCGCTAAACACTCATTTAAGTATACGAGTACTAAATTTACAATTAACTAATCGAACTAAATCTCGTAACTTTTAAATCGCTTCTTGTGTGAACGCTTGACTAGTTCCCCACTTCTTTAGAAAAGTAATGTAAAAGCCTATAAATATTTGCTACGAAGTACAGCCAGCAACAAACGCTTAGATATTTTAAGCCGTTATTTGACTGGTCGGTACGACAGCAATGCAAAAAATTTTTAGCTCAACCTAGCTAACTAATGTCGGGCGCGTTTTAACAATGGGGACTTCTTCATTATTGGACGCGACGGGACAATAATATGATGCGGTTAATTAACTCCAAATTATGCATGGCATTGCCATTTATACACATATTTAATTATTTTTTATGGAATAGGGGTAACAAACGAGCGCACAGTCCACATGATGGTAAGTGGATGCTGTGGTCCATAGACAACTACATCTATCCCCTTGAGGTTCATTTGAGGTCGAAAATAGAATTTGGCTACATTCTAAAAACAGCTCTATGAATAGAATTGGTATGAGAAAATATATTTGCATTTTTAGACCGTAAAGTTTTCAGATGGTTGCAGTCACAATCGAGCTTGGCGTATCTACGCGGAGTCGCTGAGAAACCCAACCGGTTTTCCAGCCACCTTATGCAAACAGTGGAAAAGTCCATCTAGCAATTGCGGGTTTACGGTCGACGGTTATATGGGAATTGCAGCTCGACCACCGTGAGTAAAATGTTAATCAAAAAATGTCATGTGTATTATACGTGTTTGGGTGCGTACGTCAGTGCTTTTGTGCGTGCGATCGTGTGTACATGCTAGCGTGTTAGGGCGCGTGAGTGCATGCGAGCGTGTGTGCGCGCTGACGTTTTTGTGTGTAATATTTTGTTATTTTTTGTCGCTTTTACATATGCACTGAGTTTATTATTTCGACCATGCGTAACTTCAACATGGAGGCATTCAATTTTCCAAGCTAGGGTTGCCAACTTGTTGATATCAAATCATTATCAAAGAAAATTATTAGTAAAGAACAAATATAGCGATATAGTAAGCTTGAATTAATAATACTTTATTTTTAAGAAATATTTTTGGCTGCTTTGATAATGACTCCTTTGTCAAAATAAAGATTTAAGTAGTCTTTATCAAAATAAAAGATTAGCGTAGCTTTTTAGAACTATAGTAGATATTCGGACCCGTACCCTAATACTCGTATAATAAGATACCTACTACTTTACATAGTTGTGTTGACAACCCTATTAAAAACTTGCCGCGCTTGATGTAACTTAACCGATGTAACTAAATATACATTGGATTTTAGTAAGGATACATGGTCAGAGAAATACATCGGTGAAGTAAACGACATAAAAAACCCAAAAGTCAAGAATTTGCTTTTTAAAATATGATAACTTTAACTATATCTCAAGTATAATCTGTTTATTTGGCTCATCTTAAAACAACTGTAACTATTGATAATTTGTAAAACAACTACGAGACGAACAAAGAAATTTTTCAAGAGGTTCTGGTTTTAAAATAATTGAAAAGTACGCAAGAAATTAAAGTTCATAATGATGATGATTGATTGCCAATATCTCTCTTATTTGATTCATCATCATTATCGTCATGCAGTCCACTACTTAACTTAATCCTTCCCTAATGAATGCCACAAATCATGATTCTGAATCACCCCATCCATTAACCTCTTGTGTGACTTACCAGGCCGTCATCTAGTGTGAGGCCGCTTTGCTTACCGGTACAAAGTTGTTACTTGGTTCACAATTTAGGAGAGCACCTTTCTTATTCCATTCCTGTGATGTTCATATTGATTATTCATATGGACAATATGTTCATATGGATTTTTTCAGTTGTTTTTGTTTCTTTTATTTGTTCGTAGTTTAAAAGACTCAATAAGAATTTAAAATGTATATTAATTTTTAAAAAAAAACTACTCTTATTGTTTTCTATTTATTATACTCGTATTTTATTATTGTTGCACTTGATAAAAACTTTTTTCTTTGAAGCTTTTTATTAAATGCTTTTATTTTTGCTTTTATTAAAAGCTTTTTATAAATCACTTTAGATTATAAAAAATATATGTTGTTATTTTGATATTATTTGTTCATGAAGAAAATATGTTGTTTCGTTGCAGGATGAGAGGTATCATGTATTTGGAAACAAATCAGAAGCCTCCATTTGCGAAAAATGGCCCATGAAGTGCATCGACCTGACGAAAAAAGGGAACTACAAGGGTTTTTAAGATACTACGTTTTAATCCGTCTGTTGATTTGTTAAAATGCTATAATTGTAAATAAGATCAGTCGTATTCATAAAAAAAATATATATTATAGGTTAACATAACGTCAAATAGTAACTTTCGGATTCGTCCGAGATTATGTGAGAATCTCGCAATAGGTACTGAAATCCCGCAATACAAACTAATAAAACAGTCATGTAAAAAGGCATAAGATATGGTCAGCATTTAGTCCATACAAACGTATTCGCTCTGTTTTCTTCCTGGATAATGATACTAGAGCAAATATTTTTTAAGATACAATCTACACCTACCACTATCATGTTCCTACGTGTTTTTGTTAAGTTTTTTTAAATTAATTATTTTAAAAGCCTTTTTAGGAACATCCCAATATTAATACATCTGCCCTAATTTATACCAACGTTACTAGACATTCAGCAAACAAAGCTTTTCATTCACCATTAAACAAATTCTATCGAGGCGCCCTTGTTCTGCTATGCTGCTATTCTTAAATAAATACAAAGTGATAAAAACAATTCAATAATGTGTTTATTTGCTATCTCTAGGTTACAATTTTGTTGGTGTTTCATAGTAGGTACCTACAGTAGATTACTACAGGCCCTGGTAAACTCTGACAAATACAAAATGTCAGAAATGAGATTGTCCTGGCAATTTAAAAGTGACTTACTAAGCATCCGCTGTCCGTCCGTCTGTCTGTCAGCGGGCTGTATCTCAAGATCTGTAATAGGTAGACAGTTGAAATTTTCACAGAATGGGTATTTCATGCTTGATGTTATTAATTTGATAACCTCCTCGCATGTTGTTTTAGATAAATATAACGTATGTTCTTTTCTTTTATGGATATAAGTTTGCTGTATCGGTTTGGAAAAACTGCTGGTAACAGTAAATTCCACAGTTTGGTCGTGCGAAGCAGAAAATTCCGCGTAAATCGCACAGTAGTGGATCGCCAGCCATCGAGATGATGAGGATGGAATTTCGAGTTCTGTCGCAATGAACGATGATGGAATTCAGCAGCTGGAATTAATCCGAATAATTCCTCTGAGCAATCCCCGTGGTATATGGGGTAGAAGATGCATAGAGATGCAACGTCTCTTCGCAAGGTCAATGGATCAAGCCGATCGGAAATAACTTGATCGTCGATGATTCAAGCCACTCTCCGTTGAATATGGTCTAGTGGAAAGAGCTGACACTGGGGTGTCCCGGCCCAGAGACGAGAATAGTATTCCATATGAGGCTGACCCTGCTCTTGGTAAAGCTGCACCAGCGGTGGTCCGGCATGAAATACCGTCTTGATGTACTGAACACACTAAGCTTTTTTTATGTCAGTTTAGCCTTCAAGTGAATGCGGAACTGTACGTCTCTCGAAATGTTGACGCCAAGGATTCCGATGCTGGTTGAGGCAACGAGGAGAGTGCCTCGGAATTAAGGAGATACGACAGAGGGGCTCTTTTTTGCAGTAAACGCGCAAACCTGTGTCTATTGGGGGTTAAACTGGAATAGATTTAGTCGCCCCCAATGCGAGACTGTGTTAAACAAAGACTGGACTTCAGACACGAGTTTGTTCCAGCACTCGACGAAAGATTCCCGAGAAATATTGGCACCGCCGTGGTGTATTTTTTTTTATAGGATAAGGGTGACAAACGAGCACACAGTCCAGCTGATGGTAAGTGGTTGCTGCGGCCCATAGACATCTACATCTATCCTCTATTACAAATCAAAATGTAGATGCGTTGTCACCTGTGAGGACTAAGATGGAATGCCTCATTTCCAGTAAAAAGGGCCTCCGGTCACCTGCACTCACCAAGCGAAACGCAGAGGTAAACCTCTACTTCACGCTGGTTTTCTGTGAGGTCGTGGTACCACCCCGGTTTGAGCCGGCCCATCCGTGCGACAGCAAAAGCTGCCGCGTGGCTCTACCACTGTTAAAGTATAAAGCATCGCCAGTGTTGTCGTCTGCATAACAATAAATGTTACTAGTATGCAACATATCATTGACATGCAGAAGGAACAGGGTATAGCACGCAGCCTTGTGGAACACCAGCATTCACAGATTTGTAGTCACAGCATGCACCATTGACTACTTTTATAGTCCGATCTATTAAAAAAATTAGTGACCGAATTGCATAATTTCTCAGGAAGCCCATAAGAGGGAGGCTTCGAAAGAAGCGCTTCGTGCCAAACCCCATCGAAATCATTCGCTATGTCCAAACTAACCATTTGGGCCTCCCCCTTGATATCGACTGCCTTCGCCCATCGGTAAGTCAGGCAGACAAGAAGACCACTAGCTGAACGACCTCAACGGAAACCGTATTGACGATCACTAATCAGTTAATGATCTTGCATGTTGCCAGCTCATGCAGATGCATCTCTGCTTTGATAGTAAATAATGGATTCCATTATTTTGGAGAATAAGGAGGTGACGGAATTATTTTAAAGGATATAGCCAAAGGCTTGTAGTTGGACGGGTTCGAGCGGTCACCTTTTTTAGGGATCGGGTGCACTAAGGCTGTCTTCTATGAGCCTGGAATGGTGCCTAAAGAGTAAGAGAGTAAGGAAACCAGAAAAGATGTGTAAAATCAGTGCCAACTCTTAAGCACACGTCTTCAGCACAAATTGGGGGATTCTATCAGGCCCACTCGACTTGTTGAGATCTAGGGACAGTGTCCAGGGAGCTGTGTAAACAGCACATTGCATGGAGCACTCACACGTATGTTATTGATATGTTCCCTCCGTTGACGAGAGTAGAGTTGGACGCAAAAAGAGAACAAAAAATATCTGCTTTCTCCTTTGCGGCGTGGGCCAGCGAGTCATTATCCCTACTCAAAGATGGTAATGATGGCTTACAAAAATTCCGGGATCAGAACGCACGAGTCTCCCGCAGGAAGGCAAACTAAATTCTCGCCAATTCTCCCAATGTGCTCCGACTTTGCTCTAGTGATAACTCTTGTGAAGGACCTAGAGGGAGATTTGTAATTCTTTTTGTGTGCACTAGTGTTTGCATCACGGGACGCCGATGCTTCAGCCCAGGCCTTGTAACACTCTGCTTTTGCTTTTTCCGCGACGCAAATTTTGCAGGAGTGTCCAAACCAAGGCTGGGATCTGCCGCCGATAGGCACTACAGATGACGGGACGTAGCCAATTGCTCTGATCACATAGCCCTAAGGTCTTTTTATAAAGAATATATTTAAGTCCTTACCTATGAAATTGCCGTTTTGTTGAACTGGCTACTTTTAATTGTAATAACTACGGTTTTACTAGGAATTTTCAATTCAAATAAATTTTACTTTAAAACAGGTTGTTGTTATTTTTAATCAGTTATCCATTTGTTTCTTCGGATTTTGTTTCTTTCTCCAATATCGATATATTTATAACCAGGGACGCTAAGAAAATTCGTGTTATTTTGAATATGAGTTGCGATGTAACAAACATTGCGTCTCAAACAGCACACAATATGAATGACATAAACAGACCTCTTCTAACGAACGATCTGCTCGTAATTTGTTTAACCGTTTTCGTTCGGAAAATGTTGACCTCAAATGAACCTCGTAGCCGATCGGAGAAGATGATAAAAACGAAGGCGGAACTGTCTCAGTGGCGGCTGAGCTGATCTAAGTACCAAAACAATATAATATATTTTGCGGAGAAATCGTAAATCAAATAAGCTTCACCAATAGGCACCTTAGGAACTGAGGGATGCACAGAAAGAACCTAGCCCGCTAATGATTTGTTAGTTTAAGTTTGAGGTCGAATACAGCTTGCCACATATTTATGTACTTGTGCTGACCATGAGGAACCAGGCTAGTAATCCTCGAAATCAGATTTGTCCATTTCCATTCGCATTATACGCGTACGTTTATTTTTTTTGTAAAACGTATTTCTATTTGTAAAACTAAATGTATCTGTAATAATAAACTATTTACTAATAAGCTTGTGGTCACACTAACCGGTGTATCTGCAAAGAATTAATACAATGTGGTTATTTCAGTTAATAGGTTATCAATATACATTTAAAGTTTTCTATTTACTATTATACTATTACATAATAGGAACCTTTTACTAAAAGGTAATAATACTACACTTTCTTGTATTCCATTCGTCCAACAGCTAGCACACGATATATGTCTGGAGACGTGTAGAATGAGGGACCAGTTTTAACAGTAGCTATATTAAAATTGTACCAATATTTAGCCCTGTTTGTTTTTTTACTAAATGCTTTAAGATCTTTACTAAGACCTTAACTGGAAAAAATAACAAGATAAATAGGTTAATTGAAAAATTTTCACTAATGTATAAAAGAAATGTGTGGTCTGAGGGACCAAAGTTTAGATATTTGTTTGTTTAATTTTAACATTTTATGTCTTGCATAACAACATTTTTAAGATACTCTCTGAGAACTGACTGATAGACTGTGTGATCTGAGGGACCACACTTTAAGGGCTGTAACTTTTTACATATTCTTTTACAAATTCCAGGATTCGTTCTACAATTGTTTTAGACCTACTACTAAATCCTTAGCAATTCATTTCGCGAATGCCGGGCATGATTTCTAAGTGCTCACATACATGACGCAGTTTGGCGGACTATTTACTACGTAATCTATTCATAACTGAGAGGACGCTTGTGCTTTGCACTAGGACGTATTTTAGTTGTAACTTTTTTAACCTGCATCCGTACCTGCAACCGTCGTAAAAGGTGCTTTGTTAAACAGCTGCAGTTTAACAAAGCACCTTTTACGACTTTTATTAGTTTTCCTATCGAAGTCCACAGCTGAACATCTGCCACCGTATACATTGTCTATTAAGTGGATATTTGCCATAGTTACCACGCTTGCAAGCGGTCTTATAACTTATTATAAAACAAAACAACGTAACTTCGCAGTAGATATTTATTATAAAATGAAATAAACAGTGAATTTATAAGAAATGATAAAATTATTCCCTTTGATGCAACGTTCTACATATTGGTGTAAGCACAATCGTCGAACCTCTCAAAATGTTTCGGGGTAAAGAATCGTAATTTACAGGCGTCTAGACGACTCGACGAACTACAATATTTGCCGTACCAGTCCGACACCATCTTCTGCTTATAACTCAAATCGTTCAAAGCGATATTCATAAGGGTGGTCTCTGTTTCCGATAACATTGGCAGTCCAAGGTTCTTCGCTATTCCAGATCCCTGTATCTCCACTGTATTCGCCATGAATCTACATCAAATATTTTTCCATTATATTAAATTACAAAATACTAAAAAAAAAAATTTCGTGGTAGAGCCATGCTGCAGCTATATTAATTGTATAGTAGTAGCACGAATGGGTGGAAAGGACCACGCTCTCACAGAATACCAGCATAAAATAGCGGCTTAATGCTGCCGTATGGTGAGTGTAGAGAACCGGAGACCCTTTTACTGGAAAAGAGGCATTCCATCACGGCTGAACACGCATCTGCATTTTGATTCACATACGAGGATAGACGTAGATTTCTATGGGCCACAGCAACCACTTACCATCAGGTGGACTGTGTGCTCGCTTGTCACCCTATCTTATATAAAAAAACCAAACCCATCTGTCCCTAGGTCAGTCTGTATGGAAAAAGCTAGAAAGGTCTAATGACCGGATAACTGGTATTGATAAATCCATCTTATCAATACCGGTTGTAAGATACCTAGATGAGGTGACGGTGAGGCCGCAGTTTAAAAAGGCACGATATATCCCCTTCAATAAAGACGGTGGTTCTTTTCTCGCTCAAAGGTTAGTATAGTCATTCAGCGAAGAAACCCAGCCAGCGTCCTTGGCACGATACCACGGGGCGTAGGACTGTATGATAATTAAGTTGTTAGTTTTAGTTTTGTTTTTATTATAGTTTTTTTTTACAACAATATGATCTGAGTATAAATATCCAGCACAATGATATGAAACGCGTCTGTCAAAGCGTGATGATTATTGCACTACTTCTCATCTTATCTTTTCATATTTTTTACGTGGAGGGATCGTACTATCGGGCTTTCTTCAATTTTATTCAATTATCTTAAGACTAACAGAATTGTAAGGCATTTCAATGTTACCTTGAGGAGCAAATTATTTGTCCGGGATTCATCTGAACGAACCCCGTGACACGTGGGACATCTTTACAAAGTAAAGCGTTGGCGACCTTTGTCACCAAACCGGCTAGAGCATGTGCCTCACTCAGCTCCGCCGCTTTGGGGCAGTCGCCGTCGTTTCGAGATACTGCTGCGGATGTCGACCTTACAGTTTCAGTTAACATTTCAGCATTATGCTGGAACACATAAGCAAGAACTGAAAATGGACTGGTAGGTAATCCTGTAATATTCATAATATTTTTTTTTAATTAATAATTGGGTTAAATTAGAAAAATGCCTATGATTTTTGATATGATATTTATTTCAATATTTATTTAGAATAGTTAGAATAGTTAATTTAGAATATTTAGCTTCTACTGGCTGTTCCGTCCGCGTGTAAACGGACACACCGTGCTCGTCATTTTACGTTCAACCGTTTATTTTTCTGCCGTAAAAAGTAACACATGTTAATCAAAATGTCATTGTTAATGAACATGTTCTTTTGTGTGCTATGTTACATCGAAATTCGTTTAGATATTATGCGTGATAAAGAGGATATATGGGCAGTGTTTAGTTAATGATTTATGGAGATAAAGACTAAAATATAGACTTTAAATCTGGCAAATCTTTTCTTTTTTATAGGATAAGAGTGATAAACTAGCACGGTAGCAGATACACTAGCACCTGATGGTAAGTGGTTGCTGTGGCCCATAGACATTTACATCTGTCCTCGATTACGAATCAAAATACAGATGCGTTGACACCCGCGTGGACTAAAATGTAATGCCTCGTTTCCAGTAAAAAGGGTATCCGGTTCTCTACACTCACCATACGAAACACAGCAACATTAGTATACTATTTTACGCTGGTATTCTCTTGATGCTTCTTTCCGTCGCCGGTCTGGGCACTTTACGTCCAGTATGAACGAGACTGTTACGCCATATATCACAAGCCATCAGGCTTTTCTAGCTTCTCGCATAGTCATTTCTTACTGGACGAAACGGAGTGATGGATTCTCTCACGCCGCCACCGCAACGGCATCCTTTGAACTACTACAGCCTATTTTATTTTGTATTGTATACTAGTGACCCGGCCCGGCTTTGTCTGGATTATTTACATTTAAGATAATCATCAGACGATTTATTTTATAATTTTTTTTGATTTCTATGTATAAAAGATTAGCCCGGACAAACATACAAACTTTTAAAAAATTATTATTCATTTCTTAACATTATACAAATAGCCGAGCATAATAGAAGACGGTTATTTCAATAATATAGACAGACACTTCAATTTTATTTATAATGTGTATAGATGTAAAATAAATAAAAAGTACCCTAGTAAAATCGAAGTATTCAACGGCTTTTGAGAAAAGTGGCACCAAGGACTCCCCTTCTGTGCCGCCAACGCACGGCACTTTGGTATAGCTTGGATCTAGACAAAGAGCTCTTGCTGCTAAAGTGCTAGCCCGCATCTCTGGAACGGCCAGAGAACCCAATATTTTCTGAGGATTGTACCATCCCATCTCCGTTAACGCCTAAAGAAAATGTTGATTAAGTTACTTGATCGAAGCATCTTCTTTTACGTTGTAGTTATGCTGAAACTATATTACGGTTGTAGTACGTATGGAGTCGGCTCTGAGTGTGGATGATGGTAAGTTGATGCTGTGACCCCTAAACACTAGATGGAGGTGTCCTCGATTAAGAATCAAAATGCTGACGGGTTTCACCCTCTGAGGACTAAGATAAAATGTCACATTACCAGTAAAAGGGTCTCCGGTTGTCTTTACCAGACACAACAGCATTATTCTGTTGTTCTGGTATTCAGTGAGTGCATGATCCCTACCCGATCGAGTCGATCCATCGTACTGCAGCCCTAATATAAGTGCAGTGGTTCCATCACGATTGGTGATTTTACATCTGGCGTATACGATACTGTTTAACCGCCATCTATCGGAGGAAATAAAACCTATCTGGTATTTACCACAGTACGGTTCACATTGCAGTGGATCTGCTACGAAATTGTTGTGAAATTACGTAAAAAAGCAAAGGAAATGTAGCGACATTACGTGTCTCACGTGCAAATGCGAACATTGTGGTAATCAAGTTTATTTGTTGATGGTAGGTAACTAACGATCCCTTTGCGTTGCGGTCGGCTTATCTACCGGTCCATAATCAATCGGTTCCCAAATAATTCAGGTTCTTTTTACTTATTACTGTTAGATAAGAGAAGTTTGTATTGCAATAAAAAGTATTACCAACGAGCAATCTAAGACACGTAGAAAATACGCTTATAAGTGATCATAAAAGTTCTAGCACTAATACAAACAAATAAACAAAAGCTAATCGGTGTAGCAAACATAATCAAGCCTGATTGGGCCCATAAAGTGTATTGGGGTCGAGAACAAACGGTCCTACAAACATCTTCACTTCCAATACGTCACTGCAGCAAATACTGGTCTAGGATTACATGAACAGTCTCACTTTATGTAGCGGAACACTGACGTCACAAATTAGAAAAATATATTTTTTTCGGGTCCTTTCATTCACGGTATCGTTGATATTTTCAGCTATAAATTGTGCCAAGTAAAGATTGCTTAAGTCTAATTAAAATGAACTTAATTAAAAAATCTCCCTTTTTTGTAAACGATATTTTTTCTTCGCGTAGAAAATTTGCAAGGTCAGTGGAACCATTAGTAAAGGTTGACTGGGTAAAATAAAACGTAATGAAAAATAAAAGAAAAATTAAAAAGATCATTTCTGTAAAACCAGAAAATTTATTACATGTCGGAGTAAGATAGTTAAGGCCGTGATTTTTTTTTTTTTTTATAGGAGAGGGGGCAAACGAGCATGCGGCTCACCTGATGGTAAGTGACTACCGCCGCCCATGAACAACCGCAACACCAGGGGAATTGCAGATGCGTTGCCGGCCTTTTAAAAAGGAGTAGGCTCTTTTCTTGAAGGTCCCTAAGTCATATCGGTCCGGAAAAATCGCTGATGGTAATCGATTCCACAAGGAAGTCGTGCGAGGAAGAAAACATCTTCTAAATCGCACAGTGGTGGACCGCCAATCATCCAGATGGTGTGGATGGTATCGGGAGTTCTGCCGCGATGTGCGTTCATGAAATTTGGCGGCTGGGATTAATCCGAACAATTCCTCAGAGCACTCCCCATGGTAGATGCGAAAGAAAATGCAAAGAGATGCAACATCTCTTCGCAGTGCCAATGAATCGAGCCGATCGGAAAGGGCTCGGTCGTCGACGATTCGAGCCGCTCTGCGCTGGATGCGGTCAAGTGGAAGGAGCTGGCACTGGGGAGCCCCTGCCCAGAGATGGGAACAGTATTCCATGTGAGGCCGAACCTGCGCCTTGTAAAGTTGCAGGCGGTGTGCCGGCATGAAATACTGTCCCGCTCTGCTGAGCACGCCAAGCTTTTTAGAGGCCAATTTGGCTTTCTCTTCCAAGTGACCACGAAACTGCACGTCACTCGATATGTCGACTCCGAGGATACCGATACTGGCTGAGGCAAGAAGGGGAGTGCCTTGAAACTGAGGAGATACGACAAAGGGGTTCTTTTTAGCGGTAAACGCGCAAACTTGTGTCTTCTGAGGATTAAACTGGACTAGATTTAGTCGCCCCCAATCCGAGACTTTGTCCAGCAAAGACTCGACTTCAGACACAAGTTTGTTCCGGCACTCGGCGACGTTTTCCCGAGAAATATTGGCCCGGCCGGTGTATAGAGCATCACCAGTGCTGTCATCCGCATAGCAATGAATGTTACCAGTTAGCAACATATCATAGATATGCAGAAGAAACAGCGTTGGTGATAGCACACAGCCTTGTGGAACACCAGCGTTAATAGGCTTGTAGTCAGAACATGCACCGTCTACAACGACCTTGATGCTCCGATCTGCAAGGAAGCTGGTGATCCAATTGCACAATTTCTCGGGAAGCCCATAGGAAGGGAGCTTCGAAAGAAGCGCTTTGTGCCAAACCCGATCGAAGGCCTTCGCAATGTCCAGACTAACGGCCAACGCCTCCCCCTTAGACTCTACTGCCTCCGCCCATCTATGGGTCAGGTAGACTAGAAGATCACCAGCTGATCGACCCCGACGAAAACCGTATTGGCGGTCACTGATCAGCTGGTGATCCTCAAGGTACCGGATGAGCTGGCAGTTAATAATGGATTCCATTATTTTGGAGAACAAGGAGGTGATCGCGATAGGCCTATAGTTGGACGGGTCTGAGCGGTCGCCTTTTTTAGGGATCGGGTGGACAAAAGCTGTCTTCCATGAGTTCGGGACAACGCCATGGAAGTAGGAGTACCGGAAAAGACGCGTTAGAACCGGTGCCAACTCCGGAGCACACGTCCTCAGCACAATTGGGGGGATTCCGTCAGGCCCACTCGACTTGTGGATGTCAAGGGAGAGGAGTGCTCTGCGAACCGAGCGCTGTGAGAATAGCACATCCGGCATAGAGCACTCACACCGCGGGATGGTCGGCGGTGTGTTCCCCCCGTCATCAACAGTCGAGTTGGACGCAAAAAGGGAGCCTAAAAGGTCGGCCTTCTCTTTTGCGTCGTGGGCCAGTGAGTCGTCCTCCCTGTGCAGAGATGGTAGTGATGGCTTACAGAAATTCCCTTGGACAGCCTTGGCGAGAGACCAGAATGCACGGGTTCCCGAAGGAAGGCGAACTAGTTTCTCACCAATTCTGCCTATGTGCTCTGACTTTGCCTTGGCAATAACTCTTTTGAAGGACCTGGAAGCGAAGTTATACTTCTTTTTAAGTGTGCTGGTGTTTACATCCCGAGTCACCGAAGCCGCAGCCCAGGCTTGATAACACTCCTGCTTTCTGCGCAATGCAGTCTTACAGGAGCGACCAAACCAAGGCTGAGACCTGCCTCCGATGGGTACCACAGATGATGGAATAAATAGTTCCATTCCCTGTAGCACCACATCAGTGACAGAGTCAGCAACAGCGCTGGGATCATCCGGCGAGAAGCAAACCCGCCCCCATGGGTAGGATGCAAAGAAAGACCGCATTCCGTCCCAATCCGCCGACCTGTAATGCCAAACACGGCGGCAACCTGCAGAACGCAACCGCGAAGGGAGCGTGAGTGGCACCATACTCCGGATCAGACAATGGTCCGAAGAGCCAAGAGGGGCATCGACGGAAACCTGATATCCGTCCGGATGAGAGGTCAGCAGAAGGTCCAACAGGGAAGGTGTATGATCCTCCACATCTGGAATCCGCGTAGGCGAAGTAACCAGTTGTGTCAGACCATATGCCAAAGCAAAGTCATAAACAGATCTCCCCGCATGATCGGTTAAACGTGAACCGAGCCATTCGGCATGGTGGGCGTTAAAATCGCCAAGGATCACGATCTCTGCGGATGGGACCTGTTGTAGCAAGGAATCTGTAGCCATTTGGACGTGGTCAATGAGTCGGTCTGTTTCGGCATTACCGCTATGGGACCTATAGAGGCACCCGTAGACGCGCGGATGGTCGTCGCTGTCTACGCGTAGCCAAAGGATGGACAGGTCCGAACCTTCAAGACTGCCGAGGCGTCGAGAACAGATGTCCTCTCTGACATACACGCAAACTCCAGCCCGAGGCACAAAGGAGTGCTCCAATTTGTACCCCGGGCAGGAGAGATACGAAATATCAGCCGGAGAGGAAACCTGCGTCTCGGTCAGAAAGAGCAAGGCCGGCTTCGCCGTCTCGAGATGGTAGTGGACGGCGTTTAGGTTAGAGTGAAGTCCCCTGATGTTGCAGAAATTCACGGATAGCGTGGCAGGGGTCGCCTTGGTATTGTTGCTCAGTTTGCCCCAAGCAGTTTTGTTTTTGAGCGGAATTTTGCCCCCCCCAGAATACGCGGGGCAGCCTGAGCACCCACGCTCAGGATTGGAATAACATGGTCGTGGATGCTCAGCGAGGGATTCTCCAGGGGTACTGGTACCCTCCTGGGGTAGTCTACTTTGTAATTCCGCTACCATGTTGATGGGGGGGGGGGGGGAGAATTGGGCCTCCGGCCACCTGCACTCACCAGACGAAACGCAGAAGCAGAGCCTCTACTTCACGCCGGTATTCTGTGAGGTCGTGGTACCAACCCGGCTCGAGCCTGCCCATACGTGCAACAGCAAAAAACTGCTGCGGGGCTCTACCACCGTTAAAATGTATGTATATGTAGATGTATATGTAGATGTAGTTATATCCCTAGAGATATAGCTATATACCGTAATATAGTTATATAAAAGCGGTTCATATTATCTTACTAGACTAATCTAGTGAAATAATTATAATTGTAGTTTGTTTGTAATTTGTTAGACAAAACTACTTTTGACTTATACTTTTGGATTATTGAAATTAAAAAGTTAAATTCTTTCAACATTACATTTTATATCGTTATAATGTACGGAGCTTTAGGGTAGTCCAAGGGCCACCCCAGCCGCTCTATGACCTACTGTCTAAAAAGGAACAAGAACAACAACACAACAGGAACGTCAATGTCGCGAAATTTGTTCCTC